GGGCGAGGTTGTGGTTAGAACGCTTGGTTGAGTGCATCAGACGAGACGATGAAGAAGTTCATCAAAGCCGGAACTAATCGAGCCGTTTGTGCCAGGCTGGGGAGAAAGGTATTTTAATAATGCAAATTATGTGAAAAATAATGCATTTTTCGAACCACCAAGCATGAGAGCATGTTCTAGTACACCCCCAAAACAAAATCAAGACTTTGTAAAAGAGCATAATAGGACCCCTTTAATTTTTTTTTAATGAACTGCATGTGTGCTAGGGCTGTCAAATTACAATTAGAATTCCGAATATTCATCTAATTTAGAATTAAAATCCACATTCAAATGCAAAAACTGTATTCGAATTCATTGCACCCTCTTGTAGCCACAGGAGACAAAAGCTTTTTCCCCTAAATGAATTTATGACTTTTAAATTTGAATGTAACTCGAATACTATTAATAATATTTAAGTATAAAATTCTTTAGTTTTACAGCCATTTTGACAGCCCTGTTTTTTGCATTTTAATAGGAAATAATTAGAGGCCAAACATTTGGATAACAATTTAAAAACCATGTCAGCTTTGATAGATAGTATTTTCATTTTCATCTTTGTCAGTGAACAAAGTAAACAAATGGTCTACTGATATTTATGTTTTATGAATCATTTTATTAAACAAGTTACTTTATTGAAGGCTACCAGGAAAGCTACGTAATTAAGTTTAATAAATTCACAATAGGCCTATGTGCCCATTCATTTTTAATCATATGCCTAATATATGATGAAAACGGCTTATATTGTTTCTTGTCCCCTCACATTAACGTTACATGAATCACGTCAATTCAAAATGGTGAAATTAGACAAGTTTATTAGTTTGCATTTCTGATTATTTTTGTCAGTCGTTTAAAATTTATATCGCAAAACAGCTGTCAGATATGAAATGTTTGTCTACTTACATCTTATCCCGCACTTTATAGCCGCTAACTGAAGCGTCGCGTTGAAATTCCAGCTATGCAGCTTCTGTGAACATATAAAGCCCGCCTACTCTGATTTGATTGGTCATCTCAAATATTTTTTTACATTGACGAGCGGTGACTGTCTCCGTGACAGACGAACTGAGGCAGCTCAAATGAGGAGGATCTTGAATCTTGGAGGATAAGTTGAATCTTGGTGCTGTGCAATATCTTTGCAGCACGAAGGAAGAGTTAATACTATATTAGGAAATTATTTCAGAAAGTACACCTCGGAAAAATACTGACGTCCGGACCTCGGTGACCTCATAGCTGGCTACGGGCATGCAGGACAGTTTAGGGATAAACTTACGTAGAGTCTGATTCTGGTGATGCTGAGAGAGGAACACACATTGAGCTCACTGTATCTATCTTATCCACCTGATAACTGACAACAAAAAAATTACTGATTATTTTTTTTAAATAAATACACACAATACTGTTTTTGAACAGTACTGTTTTTTAAAGAATTCTCTTTCAAGCCTGCATTTATTTGATCCAAAATAATGCAAAAGCAGTAATATTGTGAAATATCTTTTACTATTCAAAATAACTGCTTTCTATTTGAATATATTTTAAAATGGTATACTCAGCTGTTTTCAACATAATAATAATAATAAAGTTTTTTTGAGCAGAAAATCAGAATATTAGAATGATTTCTGAAGGATCGTGTGACTGGAGTAATGATGATAAAAATTCATCTTTGAAATCACAGGAATAAATTGCATTTTAAAATCAAATCAAATAGGAAGCAGTTATTTTAAATTGTGAAAATATTGGTGAGTAGAAGAGACTTAAAAAAAACAAACAATAAAAATCTTACTATTCAAAAACTTTTGACTGGTAGTGTACTTTAATGTCTGATTTTAATATTGACTGCTTTAAGTTCATCAATTTAAGAATACAATAACAACATAAAAGTGGCATAATAAATGATATCAAAATAATATCAATTGGCCAGATTTCTGCAAACAATTGTTATTTTAAAATTAGATATAATAGAGCCTCTGCTGTCATCACAGACATCATCATAATTGTCATTTTAAACATGTGTTAAATCTTTTTCCACATGGAACACAAAAATAGTTATCTAGCAGAATATTCAGACTGGTTTTAGTCTCTCTGGTCTCTTTAGTTTATCATACCAGATGTTATGGAGACTGGGACATGTGTGACACAGGGAGAGGATCTTTGGAGCCAAGTTCTCAGTCAAGCTGTCCATTGTCAATTGCACCTTGTTCAGACCAGACACAGAATGCAAAGCGTCCACACTCTCCTCAAATGTAGGACGTCTGTTATTACATGGAAAATGACTCATATTTAGTAAAAAATATATTATTGATTTAATACTCTGTTTCACGTGAATACTAAAATATATGCAGTGATTATTTTTACCTTACAGAGATCCCTTTGCACAGGTTATATGCTTGTAGGAAGTTTTTCCAGTAACTGCTAGTTTTATCTGAGTTTTCAGACAGGGTGAGCTCTATGCATGAGAACAGCGACTTTGTACTGGGACAGGAGCCGGTGCACTTCAAAAACAAGCTGAAATATAAACAAAAATCCAGCTGACCTTGCAAATACTACACTATTTGTACACAAAAAGATTCATGAAACAGAGAAATAAAATGTTTGTATTTGGGGCGGTGGAGTATGATTGGGTATGAACGAATGAATGAAACGCATTTGTCTGTTTTTCACTCCGTCTCGAATCACGCTCGCGGAAAGCGCTTGAGAAACAGTGTCTCTTCCACGGCTCGGTATGCTTTCAACTCATTTTTTTAAGTCTCGAGCAAGACTGTACGACATTCACATTACATGATTTGACTGATTTTTACGTAGAAAGGGCGACAGCGCACCGCATTAAAAGAAATTATCATTCATGTTTTCATAACCGCTGGCCAAATTCAAAAACGAAACTAAAATTAAATCATCTTTGAGAGCAAGGGGGCCCCCTGGTGTTTCAGGGGCCCTACGCAGCTTGCGTATTTTGCGTATAGGGAGGATCGGCTCTGGTTGGGGAATACCGTTAACAATTTACTGCCTCTTGACCACTCCTAACTGATCTTATTTGGTCTAAATAGGCTCATCTCACAATTAAAAAAAAATCTGTTGAACAACAAATATTATAAAAACGTCCAATATATAAATACCAAACAACTGAACACTCATCAACTAGAGAATATGCAGTTTTTTGGCAGTTTATGTTTAAGAAATGCAGTGTTCTTTACCTGTACTTACCTGATAATCTCCTCCACCTCCTGAGATCCGAGCAGAGAATACACTCCACATTGTCCAGTTCATAAGAATCACTTCAGATGAAAAACACACAGCCCGTGTTAGTTTTCTTAGCAGACTTAACTGATCACAGAATGATGTTGTAGGCAAAAGTAATGATTATAACAGTGTCATAAATATTCAGTTTATGATCCTCACTTGATTTCATCGCTGCAGTCACTGAGAGGTGAGGACATGCCATCTGACATCTGTCCTGCAGACTGAGACCTGTGAATATTTTCATAAACCATGCTATTTTTCTTTCTTTTTTTTCTTTTCAGATGATATCACAAATCCCTTTTACTTTTTTGTCCCATCTTCTCTAATAATCTTACTCCTTTCTGGTATATAATGCCCACTTTCTACAATCAATAAAAACAAGCCCCAGACCATATTTTGCATTTCATTCTAAAATACCACACATGTCAGATTATGTACTGTAAGTATAATGGGTTATCCAATAAGAGACTTGAGTAAAAACTGTCATCCCACCGAATACCATTCAGTCCTTCTGAATCACTGTCTTCACTCTCAGACCTTCTATGGATACTGAAAAACAACCACAGAGATAGCTACATTTAACAGTTAATAAAAGCATGGTGAAATCTGTGTCAAATCTGTCTAAACTTCATCATCGTAAGATATAAAGCTTAACAGATCTAGTTCATAATATAGCAGTACACATTTGAAGTGGATCAAAATCTATCATCAAAATTGTCCTAAAATGCTTTCTTGTCTTAGGACAACTTTGATTAACTTTTTTTATCCACTTCAAATGTTGACTACTGTAGATTAAATGGCTGGAAATGTCATGAAACCTTTCATTCATATATCATATTATATTATATTATATTATATATTCATATTTGAAGTCTCAAGAAACTACAAATCCATTCAACATGTTTGTTAATGACCTGTTATTAATTAAAAGTTTTATTATTGTGGTGTATTTTGCTACGGACTAATAATGTTATTGTTTGATAGCATCACTAGGGGGCGCTGGATTAAGAGTAATGGGATGGAGTTAGTTCTTCAGCTCACTCTCTCTCTCATTTAAATGTGCTCTTTAGTAAAGCTTTAGTTAGTGGCACATGCCTTCGTGGATGCAGGTCATTTAGAATACAGGAATCACTAATGCCTTACCTGAAGAATTCATTCCTACCGTCCTTCTTGAAGTTCGCCCTACTTGTCTCAGGCCACTCAACTGCCAAAAAACTAAGCCACAAAAATAATAAGGTGAGCTTTTGTCATCATGAAATTCAGGGTTCAATGTGCAAATGCCACTATCACAATGTCAACTGTGTTTGTTCTGAGAGACTGAAACACCCAGCTATGTCTACTGTATGTGTAAACAGGAGTGAAGTGAATTCTCACTTTAATGCAGTCAGGCTGGGGTTCATCTGAATGAGGCCCAGGACTCTGGACGCTCCATCCACAGTCATGAATCTGAAGATAAGATCCAGTTCCTTCAGACCAGAGACCGAGTGCAGGACAGAGAGCAGATCACACACATTCTTGTTGTCATACCTTGGAGAACTTAAACACACACACACACAATTTTAAAAAAATAATAATTTTGAACTAAAACACCATTTCACAAACAGACACATACAAACACTCTCTCTCTCTGGTATCAAAGCATTTACCTACCACCCAGTCAAGTCTTTTAGCTGGTTGTAGGACTGAAAGAATCTCCTCCAGTCAGCATTTGCATTCTCAGAGTCATCTGTCAATGTGATGGTGACACGGGGAAGCACTTTGTGCACTGGAGGTTCAAAAGGGTTGATATCACAACACTCATCTATATAATTCAGATGGTTACAGCTGACAGATAGCCTGCGAAACAACAGAGGACAACCGCTACTAAAAGCATTAAAAGCATGAAAAAGAGTTTAAGCAATTGTTTTTTCTCAGAATGTCCAGACTTGTTGGAAATCGAGTGATAGAGTATTACAGCAGTTGCTTTTTTTCCAGTATCTAAGGCAATATCACAAACTTATAAAGCATTCCAAGAAGTACATACAACTGTTAAATGCTGGAATACACAACTTTTAAAACTGTAACAGATTTTAAAACACTAGGCACCATACACTTGTATACACACATACTACCAGACTTTCCAAAAAAAAAAAAAAAAAAAACACGCAGAAACATGCCTCATTGCAAGGAGATGCGTGTAAATATTTTTTCAAAGTAAATAAAAGAAGATGACTGGAGTATGTTTTACAAGCAAATACTACTTCAAAATGTCATGTTTAATTCAATGTGTAAATTGCCATTTCTTTGTAACTGAGTGAAAATTGTCTACACCAATTTTTTTCCCCCAATGTAGCATTGAATCCAGATAGCAAATTGGAGCAAAAATATGTACAAACTTGTGTAATGTATTCCAGCCTTAAATGTCAATTATAAATCTAACCAAATGTTACTAGACAGTACAGTGCACTGAGGTTTATAGTAGATGTCTTACCTCACTCTATCAGCTCTCATTATACCCAGATTCTCCCCATCACTAATAACAGACATATTGGTATTCAACCTACCAAAAGAGAAATCATTGTGTTTAGTTTTTAGTGCAGAAAGAAAAAAAACAACCATTTTCTTACAAATGCATTGTGGCAGTACCATAGTATCATATGATAACAAGAAACTTTGATCATGGTACTGAATGTTTATTAATATACAAAGGTATTTGCATCGTGGTACTTTGAATGTTTTGTATGCATTAGGTTATTCTTACTGCAAGTGAAGTAAACTGGAACAAGACAAGAAGAGGGTGAACAGATGAGCCGCCCAGCTCCCATATAGGCTGCTTAGCCAAACTTTTACTTCCTTCAGACCAGGAAGAGAGTGAAGGAATAGCAGCAGAGAATCCACATGCTCATTCAACTCTGGGCATCTAATGAAAAAAAAAAAAAACACAAAACAAAACAAATCAATGCATTCTATTATCATTAGACTCTCCCCTGGCCACTGAACTTTTTTTTATATTCATCACCCTGTATGAAGCATACCTATTGAAAATTATTATGACTTCATGTTCTTATAAATTCTGAATTTTAAAGTTTTAACTTTAAAACATAACTATAACTGAAGTCAGTTTAATTCAGTTTTCATAATACATCCATAAGCACAAACTCACTGTTCTGTCAACTGAATGAGTTGGTAAAGTCTTTTGAAAAGAACCTCCCAACTGGCACTAGATCCTTCAAAAGGAGGGAAACTGAGGTTGAGCTTCACCAGTGCTGGTTTGTCCAGTCGATGGGAATGTACCAACTCTCCATTGCTACTAGATCTGAAAAAAACATTCATTTTCATACAGTAAATGTGCACACAGTAGGACTTGAAATGGTTATGAGCTTTGTCCTGAATTTAAAATAAACTTCATAAAATGGTTAAAGTGGTTAAGTTAAAAGAACATGGGATATTTCATGCATGAATTTTTACGCAATATCATAAGCCCATCTGTCCATTGCAAGACTCGATGAGGGATTTTTCCTTTCACTGATGTGCATCTTGTACCTGCAATAGATTTTACCAACAGTTAGTAAACGCAACCACCGACAGATCAAGTCAAACAAAAAGAAAGGATGACTTATGCTTCAAATGGCTTTCTAGAGACTGAAAATGTTGAACAGACCCTTTCCTCATCACTAATCATGAGATTGCTCACATGAAACCTAAAAGATCAAGAATGTGTTAAAAAAAAACAAATCAGTCTGAATTACTGAACTTAAATTAATAAGTAAATTTACACGCCAAAGAAATCAAAATGTAAATCAGCTCTAAATTGAGAGATACAGTAAACATTATTTTCCTTTTACTTTATGTGAGAAATATTTGGATTGATTTGAAGGTAGGACAGAATCCTGGAAGTCCAAATATCTGTGAGATACTCGGAATGTATGTCCACCGCAGTTAAACTAGGAACACAATTTAGGAAAGACAGCAGTGCATCCACATTCACACCAAACTCAGTGATTTTCCTGGGAATAAATACACAGACACCAGTGTTATGTGTTAAAAAAAAAAAAAAAAAAAGGGGGGGGAATTTAGCTTGAAAAAATTTTTTTCAACAAAGATATTAGCAGAATTACTAAGTAGAACGAGAATACCAACATCTTTGAGAAGCATCTGAGGTTATGGGAAGTCTTGAGGAAATCAGTCATGGGTATTGCAGAGAAAGGACAAAGACCAAAGGATATTTTTGAAAAACCCTGATAATAACAAAGACCATGCTTTTCTGAGATTTCACCCTGATGCCCTTCTGAGTGCCCAACAGTAAACCTGAAATGAGTAAGAGCAATTTTTCATTATTTTATATTAACAAACATATCTTCAAAGACTTATTTTAGTTATATAATGTTATATTTTTTTGTGAATAAATTAAATTAACCGAGAATTAATAAATGAATACATATGAAATAAATATGAATTCAATTACCAGAAGGAATTATTTTTGCTTGACATTGTGAACTCTGAGCAAAGACGCTTGTCCATGTTTTCTGCTTGACTGGCAATACATACACTGTGAAATCAAATGAAATGAAGATTAATCTACAATACAAAAGTCCTGGTTTCAGATGAAAAAAAGATTATGTTTGTTTGCTTTTAGGGCAGATGACATGACTATACAATCTATCTAAAACTGACTCATTCAACATACATTCATTTCTCTTCTGTAAAGCACTTTGTAAACAAGGCGCTATACAATTAAAGCTTTACTTGATTAAATTCATGTAAATTTATGCATATGTTCCCAATATTTGTGTACAAATTTGCCTAGATTTACATACAATAAAACCAGAAACTAGGGATGCACCGATACCACTTTTTCCAGTACTCGCCCGATACCGATACTTTTATTTTTGGTACTTGCCGATACCGATGCCGATACCTATATTTTTATTACATTTGTAAATTGGCCAGTATCGGGCCCGATACCGATACCAGTATCGGTATCGGTGCATCCCTACCAGAAACCTTGATGTTCATGTACTGTCGACTGCCTGCTTGTTGCATTGTCATTGTGTTTAGTTTATCTGAAACATCTTCCCATCATCTCTTTTAAAAGGAAGTTCATAGTTAAATCGACATTGGTGTTGCTGATGCTCCTCATCACCAGCCGAATGTTACCCACTGATGTTTGTCCACTGAGAGTTTTCAGGATCTTCTGCACACTTTCATCGCCGGATAGGGCTCCATCCTCCATACTGCAATGCATTCACAACACTGCATTACTAATCATGTTGTAGCAATGAAAACATGTCCTTATTGCCTTCTGGATTTATGGTGGATGCATAAATATAAATGTAAGCCTTTCTACTCGCCGCGGGAGTTTTGCTCGTTCATTCTCGTAAGTGTGTACACTCCTCCGCAAGCACACGTGAGCTCCGCTCATAATATCTATGACAACATTGCAGGAGTTAAATTAGTTACCAGATCATGGTTTGAGCAGGTCATTTAGTGTCTAACTAATTCTTGAGAGAACTATGACATTGCTGCATTTACAAATATAAGCAGGGTAGCATATAATTCACAACCAAGAGAACATTACGTCAAATAGCCCACGTGCATTGAAGCATCTTTAGATCTTTTGCATTGCATTTAACTTCCATACTGATAATGTGTGATGAATACTGGAGGCAGTACATCACAACCTGACAGTCGACCCCCTTCAAAGACCAGTGTATGTTAATACCTGAGCGTTCCCACAGCTTCATGACGTTTTTCAATGTGTCCCTATCATGAACTTCATACAGACAATGAAGAATGAAATCACTCATGTAGAATGCATCCATTATGTTTTTCTCTATAACCTTGCTAATCCATTTCTCCAGCTGAGCACATGGTTGTTGTCAACTTTGGATGTTCTCCTGGGATTAAACGGCTCACTTTCTTGTTCGAGACCAAAAAGGAATTGGATGACAGGTAAGAGATGCTCATTGCCTGCTGATTCCAGTAGCTCCTTGACTTTTATTTTCGTCCCTGCCTTGTCTGTTAACATGTAGAAGAGAGCAGTGAAGAACTCCTGAAAGCTGAGGTGCAAGAACCCAAACATCTCCTTCAGATAAGTTCTCTCTTGTTGGCGAAACGTGCATAGGAAGGGAATGTTTGGTAAATCTGAGATTGCCTTTGGAAGATCGTTTCTAGAAAACAGCACTTGATGTTTCGGCGTTCCACTCTCCGCTATCTGACCCAGGTTCTTGAGGAGGTCAAGCTCTTCATGCTGATTCAAACTACTGTGATGCTTTAAGAGTGTGAAAACAAAATCAACAAATATGGACGTGGTTGTCGTCAGCTCGCCTGTTACAACTCCGTCCTTTCCTTTTTTCTTGAAAATTGTGCAGATAATCCAGCAGATGACAGGGATGAAGCAAGCGGTGTAGAGCATTTTGTGTATCTTCGCCTGCTCATACACTTGACTTGAAAACTCTTCGTCCTCAAAGAATTTTCGGAAATATTCACTCACTCCTTTCTCCGAAAATCCCATGATCTCCACAAAGCACTGTGGCTTTTTCAGAATGTTCTCCAGTTTGTCTACAGCAGAGGATCTCGTAGTAACCAGAAGGAAGGACTCTCTCATCATACGACCTTTCAGAAGAGAGCAAACGATGGCCAGTGGATGGGATTTGATGTCTGGTTTCGGAGGCAATGACTCTTTGGTTACAGAAAGCATGAGTTCATCAAAACCATCAATGATGAACAAGATCATCTGTGGTATGTCTTTTAAGATCTGAACAATCTCATCTGGAGTTAAACTACATTCCAAGAGATCCACCAGGCTCATCTCACCAGAAAGACCGTTGAGCTCTTTACTACATCAAAGAGTGTAGTGTAAAGATCTCCAGAGGCCCAATCCATTACGATCTTTTGCGTAGTGACTGATTTTCCACTTCCAGAATCACCTTGTAGAATTACAACTTTTTCACTTTTTTGGAGCCATTCTTTGGGCCAAAAAGCTGATCAACCATGATGTTTTTGTTTCTTTGGTTAGGCTCTCTGGTGTTGAAGAATCTTTTCCCTCTAGAGCACATTTCATTTTCTCGCTCTTTCTTTTCTCTGCGTTTCTGAACAATCAACGGGTCAATGTAGTGGTCATTAAGCAGTACCTGTTCACTGGCACGGGAGGTGTATTCTGTGATGTAGGCATACTCGGACAGCAGGAACTGCTTGTATTCTGTGATTGAGCTTGTGTCTGGTTAAAAAAAAAAAAAAAAAAAAATAAAAGTGAGATTATCATTCTTACAATTCAAGTGGAATCATACAATATTTAATCAACGCAAAAAAATTCTATTTTGGTGAATGCTAATTTTAGACCCCACCTTCAACATTTTTAACAATCTAAAAAACTTATTAAAAATTTTTGATCATGGTTATTTCACCTAGTAGTATAAACAAATAAATTTACATACCTATGATTTGAGTTCCAGGGCCTACAATAGGAAAAACAAAACTTGAGTTTTGAAATCATATAATCACAAAAGTATAATGTTTCATTCCTTTTCATGTCCATTTTTAGTAACTTTTTTTTACTTTATTGAGAACAAATTTAATGTTTCTGCTTCAGATGAATGTGGAATTAACAACGATGGGATTAACATGTAAAAAAATATTGCAAAACCATTGTTTTATATGTACTTTATCCACTTCACATTATCTCAAATATGAGCAAAAATTTATATGGTTGTGTAAATTAAATTAGGCCTACATATTCACAAACCTGTGACTTCAGTTCCAGGTCCTAAACAATAAAGTTAAAACAAAATATTACAATATTTATAATAATATATTAGTTGTATTACAGTTTTTTTTTCCTGTGCTACTTCCACCAACATAGAGGGATGCTTACAGACACACACACCTGTGAAGTAATTATTAGCAATGTTAATATTTCCAGTGACTGCTGAATTTAATATCACAGGTGTTGAAATATGGCTTCTATTCTGGGCAGTGATACTGATTTGAGAGACATCAGCACTTTGAGGCCCCACAGATCCTCTTTTGTCTTCTGTGGGAAAGAAAAGAAAAGACAGGTCACTAATGTTATTTTTAACCACAGTTTTTATGCAAATATTTATACTGGGCCAATAGGAAAATTTATATACGGCCCTAATCTGACTGGCCTGTTTCATGTGACTGTAAATTACCAGAATTAAACATATCCATCTGCTGTCTTCAGTAAATCGGTGCACTCCTGTAATCTGAAAATGAAATTAAACTGTAATGACAAATGCAGATATCATTTAGGCTAAGTGTCAATTACGAAAATAAATAATTATTTTGTTTTACTACTTTAGCAGCAGGTCTCACTTAGAAATGCCATTTTTCCTCAAACGATTTTACTATTTAGTAATGAGTATGTGTCAAATACTTGACCAATTAGCTACAATCATTGGTTCATTAATTACATCCTTCACAAGTACTTACCATGGTAACCCTAGTTTCAAAAGCCGTCACATCGGTAAAACCGTGCTAAACGTGCAGTAGCTTATGAACAATGGCAGAAAGGGTCTGAAAACTTCTTGAACGCGTTACTGTTAATTATTATTTTACATTAGTAACAGTAATATTAACACGCGAACAACTAGTAAAATTAACGACTACATCCTTTGTCGGCATGGAGTAGGCCTAAATTACGACCTTAGTTATGTTGAATTATAAGGTTGACAAGTTTTTCTTGAACCAAAAGAATTGAAAAAAAAAAAAAAACGAAAGTACATGAGCTTAGATTTTTTTTTAACTCATGGTTTAGTTTTGCTTTTTATCTGTGTTGAGTACATTTAAAATATATGCTAAATGCGATTAAAATTAGTTCACAACAAAGTGTAGGCTACTGTTCTAAATGGTATAAAGGCTTTTTTCGCGTCGTCTTTGGCGATGGAGATTCATAGACGAAGTATACAGGTGCATCTCAATAAATTAGAATGTCGTGGAAAAGTTCATTTATTTCAGTAATTCAACTCAAATTGTGAAACTCGTGTATTAAATAAATTCAATGCACACATTTTACTATTAGAAGTAATTTACTATTAGTATAGTTGCAAAGTCAGGAATTTCAGAATCATTTACCTGTAGCATCGCTGTGTAGTCCTGAGCGTTTGTCCTGAAATGATGATGCCGGGGAGAAAAATACTTCACTTACCGTTTGAAGTGAGACCCGCCTTGAGTGAGCAACATCTTTCTGGGCTTATCATCTCATGAACTGTAGTCTATATTGAAACTGAATGCGTTCACGCACACAAGCAAAACAAACCACATTTCGCAACAGGCTACAGTACTTCATACTGACAAAATATTTTCACATTTA